TCCAACATTACGCTTCGGCTCCCCACCAAGTGTCCACCGGACCTCGCTTGTCCCCCCGTTGTGCTCGTGCCCTTGCCCTTTGCTGTCCGCCTGCACCCCTGGCGGCGCGGCGGGCCCTGAACCCTCGGGCTGCGTGCCCGACGCCTACTGCGAGGAGGTCTGGGGTTAGGCTGCGTGTGGTTTGGGCCCTTCCTTCGCTCCTCCTGGCGGCGAGCGAGAGGGGGAAATGACAAGGAGAAGGCATTCTCAGGAGGCGGCAGAAGCCCTCGCGCCTTCTGAGAGGTATTTTGTGTATTCGGAGAAGGCTTCGGAAACTTCTCGGAAGGCCGGGGAACTTCCGAGCCTTCTGAGAAGGCCTTCTCCTTCTCACTTCCCCCCCTCGCTCGCCGCCGACCTTCCTCCTCCTCCGACGGCACCCTCCAGGTCGAGCTCTAATATTCAGAAGTTCGCATCCCGTGCACGCTCCGCGGCAGCCTCGAGCAGCTCTGGGAGTGGTTGAGCAACAGCGTGCACGGACAGGCACCAGAGGAAAAGACAGCGGAGCCCAACGTTGCCAGACACAGCAGCAACGATGGAAGCAGCACGCCCTCAAACAACCAGAGACCAACTTCATCAGATAACGTGCTGGGACAACAGCTTGAGCAGAAGGAGGGCAGCGGGAGCACGTGTGTGCGAGAAGGCGGTCGCAGGAAAAGGTCACCTTCACCACACGGTTTTTGGGGCCCGAACCTGTGACTCGTCCCCGAGGGCCGAGGTCGAGGAAAAAGGCCAGTTGAACAACAAATCGTTGGAGATCTGGGTCTCCACGACGCTGTGCCTGCCCTTCTCCAGGCCCTGACACCCAACCGAACGAAAAAAACACAACATCGCGAAACGTCACGACTGGAGCCCCAGACCCCACCTTTCTTCCTGCTGCATGTTGCCGGGCCAAGTCGACCTGTGATGGCCCCGGGGTCCGAAATCGGGCGAACACCCACGGTGCGCCACCAAAAATGCAGCGCCCAGATCTCAGTGTCTACCCCGCGTCGTCGCGCTCCCCCTCGTGTCCTCCCCCTCCTCCCCCCTCCTCGCAGTCCTCTTCCCCCCTTGCAGAGAAGTCCTGGGGGAAATTCGGACGCAGCGCCATTCTGGAGAAGGCGGCCCAGAGGGGACAGGGAACGAAATCTGGATAGGATACAGTGGTGCGTCTCCCCCTCTTCCACGGCTGGAACCATTGATGCCCCACCTCAGCCCCCCGAGCCGTCGTCCTCCCCCTCCTCTCCGTCTTCCTCCCCCTCTTGCCGATGACTCGAGCGACGACGACGCGGCCAGGCGCGCTGCGCGTCGGAGGGGCCTCGTCGGTTCCCTCCTCCCTCTTCTCCCCCCTCGCCGTCCTCGCACTGCCCCTCGCAGGCTTCGCAGGCTTCGCAACATAAGACATGTCGTGCAAGCACAGCATGCCTTAAAAAGTGAAGGATGCCACTCTCTGCTGGTGAAGCTGCTAGAGAGTAATAGTTCGCGCGAATCCTCCCCCGAGCTTCGTCACTCCACCACCTCCTGCAGGCAGGAAATTATCAACTCCAAAACCTTTGCAGCGGGGAGAACCTGGTGGAGAATTGAACGGGATAAGGGGGATTCGTCGCACGAGGTTTCCCCCTCCACGTACCGCTCCCTATCGCAATTGGCGTCGTCGATAGCTCCACCACCTCCTGCAGGCTTGCACTGTCCAGCTTTAAACCCCCTGCAGCGATGAGAACGTGGTGGAGGACAAAGGGGGAATATATGAGAGTTAGGGAAGGATTTTGCAGAGAGGGAGGGGCATGAGGTGAGAGGGGCGAGGGCACACCTGAGAGGGCCGGGTGGCCCCTCAGGTTCTCTCCCTGCTGCTTGAGGCCCTTTCACTTCTCTTTTGTAATCTTTTCCTGGGGCCACTATGCTGGGCATGACCCGAAACACAAGCATAGCCAGAGTCTGTGGTGATAGTCTATGTAATTGCCAACTGCTCGATGCAGTAGATGCCAACAACTACGCAGAAATCGTGATGATCCTTCTGCTGCTATGATTCGTCCTGTCCCTACAACAGCATAACAGAGCGAGGATAATAGAACAGGGGGAAGATATTAACCGAGGAGGGCACAGCATAGAGGGTGCCAGAAGAAATCTGCTGAACAAGGCAGGCCTGTACGTATCGGCACGCTGCTGGAACTCCTCGTCAGTGCCCCAGTGCCTGGTCTGCAAGGAGGCCTGGCACTCACCTCGCTCTCGCTGCTTCACTGTTCCACACAAGTTGTGCAAAGAGTGGCGGCACGACCGAAGTGTCGCAGATTCTGGCCACCTAAAAAAGAAGCTACGGCCTCTCACAGCTCATGTGTGATACAGAGCTGCTCAAACTTCTGGCAATCCTTAACCACACCCTTAGGAGACAGAGAGCACCATCACCAACCGTCCGAAGAAGGTCGTCAGCCCCTTCATGCTGAATTGCAGGCAGGACGGAATGTACAGGAAAAGCTGCGCCATCATGGAAACCAGGGTCGCCATGACCCGCACGGTCATCTTCGAGGGAATCCCTCCCCCTGCGATCCGCCCCCCAGCTCAACGCCAGCGTCCCCGGCTTCCGCGTCGAGCACCTCCGACGCCAGCTCGAAGAAGCTCGAGGGCGCAGGGAAACCGCACCCGATCGCCTCGGCGCCGAAGGCGCAGCACGTTCCCTCGGAGCCAGAACAGGATCCAGAGAAGACGGACTTGAAGCCAAACAAACTACACAAGTCGTTGACCGAATGTATGGTGATAGCCTCGGCGAGCGGCACGGCTCCCTGCCCAGCACCGAGGCTGTCTGCCTCGGCACCGATCTGCAGCTTCTCGGACGGCTCGTCCCCCGAGCTGCAGCACGAGGCACCCTCGGCCCGGACACCGCCGAGGCCGCCCGCGGCGGTGGCGAGGGCCTCCAAGGCAGCAGCTGGGGCCCCGCAGCACCGCTGCTCTTTGCCCTCCAGGCCTGCGGAGCCGAGGGCGGCAAGCAGAACTAGACGAAGAAAAAACGCCACAACACACAAACTGTTGGCGCTCCGCGCGGGTTTCTTGGATCTGCGCTGGAGCCCCCTCCCTGGCGCGCGGAGCGCGCCGGGGGCGGTGCCGGAGGCGCCGCTGGGGGAGCCCAGCGAGGATCCAAGGAATCCGCGAGGAGCGCCAGAAGAACATCGGCCTGCTCTCCACAAGCGCCTGGCGGCGGTGGCACCAGGCACCGGGCACGCCACCGCAGCGGGCGGGCCCTCCTGGCAGCCACAGGGAGGCCACGCGGGGCGGGCGGCCGCCGCGCCGTGGCCGACGCACCAGGCCTCGCCCTGCTCACAGACGCCATCTGGCGCGTGGAGCCGCTGGCGGAGCTCCTCCGGCGCCACCGCCTGCGGCGCCCGCACGGGAGGCCGCAGGGCGGCCATGCCAGGGGGCCGCCTGGCGCCGCGCCCAACTGCCATCCGCAAGCTGCTCCGCGACGAGGTCTCACTCGCGCTGCGGCATGCCAAGCAGCCGCGCAGCGCGGAGGGCGTCGCTGATGCTGGGGATGTGGGCACCGAGCAGGTCGTTCAGGGATCAGTGCGCCTGCAGCGCCACACGCAGGGCGTGCGCCTGGCAAGGGCACAGGCTCACAGGCTCGGCTCTCACCAAACTCGGTGCGCCGTTGCCTGCGCAGGCGCCGCGCCTGCGTCCTGGCAGACGCAGCCGCCTATTCTGCGCCGCAAATAGAGTGTCGCCCCATGGCCACTGGCGGCCGCGCGCGCGCGCGCCCGAGGGCCGACCCTGAGCCTGGCTCGCTTGAGCCACAATGGCTACGGACGGCACCCCTCGCCGACGTCCCCCCCCATCCCTCCTCCTCCTCCTCCTCCTCCTCCTCCTCCTCCCTCGCCTCCCCGTCCTTCCCCCTCCCTGCCGAGAGCTCGGGCGCACGACGCCCGTGGCCAGGCGCGCTGTGCGGCGGAGGGAGCACTCGGGCAGGCGACGCTCGCCTGCGGCTGCGCCACGGCGTGGAACTCCCGCTGGCGCGGCGGCAGGCAGGGCGGCGCGGGCACCTCCCGAGGCAGCTGGGGAGGGGGGGGTGGCAGTCACAGCCAGGTGGAGATGTGCTCCTCCCCTGAGATCTGGACGACGACGAGATGAGGGGTGGAGATTAGATAGACGGCGACGACGCCGACGACACGGCGACGGCGGCGGCGGCGACGAAGAAGAGGGAGGAAGGAACCGACAAAGCCCCTCCGACGCACAGCGCGCCTGGCCGCGGCGTCGGGCGTTCGAGTTCTCGGCAGGGAGGGGAGGAGGACGGAGAGGAGGAGGACGACAGCGAGGGTAGAGGTTGGAGCCGGCTCGGGGGGCTAAGGTGTGGCATCAACTGGTTTCAGCCGTGGAAGAGGGGGAGACGCACCACTGTGTCCAGATGTCGTTCCCTGTCCCCTCTGAGCCGCCTTTTCCAGATGGGCATTGAATGCCGAATTTTCCTTGGGAGTTCTCGGCAGGATGAGGGGAGGACGGCGAGGAGGGGGGAGGAGGATGAGGATACGAGGGAGGACGACGGCGTAGGGTAGACACTGAGATCTGGGCGGTGTAAATCTTGACGCAGGTCGCTTTCGACCAGCTTCGGGCCCGTGGGCCATCAATGATGCAGAACGATAGGGTCTGGGGCTCCAGTCCTTTCAATGTTTCGCAACGTTGGATGCTAGGGCCTGAGGAAGAGCAGCCAGGAGACTCAGATCTCCGACGATCTGACTGTGCTCAACTGGCGTTTTTGCCTCGATCTCGGCCCTGGGGGGACAGCTGTCGAGCCCGGGGGCCATCAAAAGTGGAACTGGGGAGAGAAACTACCCCTCGGGAAGCGGTCGGGACCTCTGTGGCCGCGGGCGCCTGACCCCAAGGAGGGATGATGAAGTCTGCGCCCGCAGCACAATACGCAAGCAACATTGCTGCTAGTACTTCGGGAGAACAGAAGCGACCCGAGGGGACGAGGTAGGGAGGAACCACTTGTGAAGACGTGGGGAGCAAGGCAATGTGACAGGGGAGGCGGTGACCATGATCATGGCAACGAAACAGGTCTGGCATGGGGCACGCATCAGGTTTGGACCGATGGCATGGAGACAGTGTTGAATGTCCTCACACAGGGGTACGATGGTGTCCCCAACCATGCCATGAAAGACACGTGAGAGCCGAGAAGGATGGATGTGGTACAGTGGGGACAGAGATGCGCTACACAAACGCAACATGTATTGCTGATCTGGGGCGAGAGCCTCCCGAACGGAACGAGTGGCCGAATGTGCAAAGACATTGTCTGCGTGTTCCTGTCTGCCAGAATGGTAAGGATGGTGCTGTGTTGATGGCGTCACGTGCCACGTCGGATACACAAGCACGGAGCACTGTGAAAAATCTGGCAGCCTAATGGCGCTGCAGAGAGTGCGACCGCAAACACAGGCCTCGCCAACACTGAAAGACCTTATCATAACATGCGATTGGAAATTACTGGGGTCGAGTAGGAAGCCTAGCTTAGACACCAGTTGATTAAGGAGGCCTACCCAAAAACAGAAGTTCAGACTGGACACCGACACTGACATCCACGTATATGTCAATCGGATCAAAACGGTGGGTGTGATGGGGCCGAGCAATACGGAACACCAGTCAACGACGAGACGAGGGTGGTACGTAAGCTGGCCCTGTTCGTACAATACATTTGGTATGAGCCTTCACCTGCTCCTCCTCCTCCTCCTCCTCCTCCCGTCTACCGCATCGTCATCGTCGTCATCGTCGTCGTCATCAACATCAGGAGCAGTAGCATCCTCATCCTCGCACCCATCATCACCATCAGCAGCAACAACAACAGCATCATCATCACCATCAACAGCATCGCAACAACAACAGCATCATCATCACCATCAACAGCATCAGTATCATCATCAATCACGCGGCGGCACTAAGGCGAGAACCCCACTCTGAAAAAGACCCATCCTCCGTCCGTGAATCTCCTTCAAGCGTTTGATGCAACAGCGCTCGGCGCTAAGGCCGGAACCACATGTTGAAAAGGACCGTCAAACTCTGGCAAACGTTTAAGCCGGCTACGCGCGACGCCCAAGCGAGGGCCACATTCTGGAAAGAACCCTCCCTCCATCCGCGGAACTGCTGCAAACTTCAAGGACGAATGTGCGCGGCGCTGAGGCGACAGTGACATTTTCGCTGGAAGGATGAAGGGTGGGGGATATCACTTCCAGGGCCTGAGGTGGTTTATGTTCGCCAGAACCAGAGGGGGGGGGGTCAGAAGTGGTTCTCGGGGTTATCGTCCTTCTCGTCCGCGTCATCATGTTCCCTCTCGTACTCCTGCTAATCCTGCTACTGCTGCTGCTCCTGCTCCTGCTCCTGCTCCTCCTCCTCCTCCTCCTCCTCGTCCTCATGCTCCTCCTGCTCATCCGCCACCTCCTCATCCCTTCTCCAACGTACGCAGCTCTTCTCATCGCGCACAGCACGATGAGGCCCCCGTTGGATTTCCAGGTCCGCTATGACACGCGTCGGCGGATGGAGAAACAACAACGCAGTTGGAAGGGATGGATGGGAGGAGCAGGGCGTCAGATATGTGGCACCCGGGTGGCCTCCTCCCCCTGTCCTGCCCCCCCCCCTCACCCCTGATCTCCCCTCCTCCCTGCAGGCTGACGAGAGCTCATGCCGCCGTTGTGCTGCCTGCCACCCGCAGGCATGCCGCACCAGGCATCTCGGGGCTCCTCTGGCCACGGGATTACCCCGGCCACGAAAGGGCTCCACGACCTGGGCCTGAGGAGCGGCCAGGGCACCAGGAGCCCCTCCGGAGCCCCAAGCGGCCCTCGCTGCAGCGCCTCGCCTGCCTGCGGGCGCAGCGGGGACGACCTCGGCCTCCAAAGCGGGGGAGGGGCGGGAGGGGGGCAGCGTGGGGCGCGTCTGTGGCATGCGCTGGCCCCGACGGCCGCCGCCGCGACCGCGCCCTCCCTCCCCGCCCTTCTCCCCCCTGGCTCGGGGCAGCCGAGTGCCCCCCCCCCCCTCCCCCCAGCGCCAAGGGAGGCCTGGGCCGGCAAGGGAGGCCCGGGCCGGGGGTGCTGCAGTCCCCGTCCACACCACGTCGACGCCTGCCCAAACCGGCGGCGTCCCCGCCCTCCCCACCCGCCCTCCCTCCTGCCCTCCCTGCCCTCTCGCCCGCCCGCCCTCCCGCCCTCCCGTCCTCCCCGCACTCCCGCCCTCCCTCCTGCCACCCCCCTCCCTCCTCCGCACTCCAGCGGGGCCGTGTGCCGAGAGGAGGCGGAGGGGGGGGAGGGACCGAGAGCAGGGAGGGGGCAGCGAGAGGGCGGATGGGTGTGGCGGAGGGGGGCGATCGCCCGAACGTCCAAGCAAAGCTGGCAATCACCTCCCCTTCGCGACCGTCTGGACCTGGACCTTCGTCCCCTTGCTGTTTCTCTGCCCATAGTACTGCTCGTTGGCCCCTGGGGGAGGCATGCCCTTGTCGATGACCTCGATCTCGAGGTAGATGAACGAGTTTCCCGGGACGTAGGGATTGGTCTTCCGCCCGTACGCCAGCTCGGGGGGAATAATGACCCTGCGCCTCTCGCCCACGCGCATATCCATCGTGATAAGCTGTACACCCTCCAGCGTGCTGTACTCGGTCTGGTCACCAGCTTTGAACTGCTCTGGTATCTGGTAGACCAGATTGACGCCGTCTATTCGAAAAACAACGGATGGCATAAACACAAACTTTCGGAGGTCTGCACGCATTTTTTGGATCGGCGTAGGATCCCCCTGGCGCCGCCTCTAGCGCCGCCACTGACGCGCTCCGCGCGCCAGGGAGGGGGGGGCAGCGCCGATCTAAGTAATCAGCGCGGACCTCCGAAAGTTAATGTATACGTCATGTAATGTTCCTCGAAATGTCTTCGGTTTAATGACTTCTGTCGAGAAGATCTTCTTGGCCTTCTTTGGCCCCATCTCTTCGCCAGGGAAGCCGTTGATGTATGAGTCCCAGGTAACCTGGACCTGTTCATCCTGCTGCACCTTCTCGCCCGTGCCCTCCTTCATGACCTTATAGATAATGTTCTGCGGACCCTCCTTGGGGGGATGTGAAAACAACAGCCGCGAGCATGGGCGCTCGCCGACCACTCCTTCCGCCAGTCACCCCGAAGGCGATCGACGCGGGAGCACCCCAATAACTACATACGTACCGCACTCCCCGACATCCGCCGCTCCAATGCTTGTTGATGCGTGGGCCCCTGGAGGTCTGGACCACTTCCTCCGGGCCGGTGTTTCGTCCTGGATCGCTTTTTGATCCGCGGCCCTGGGCCCGGTGACGACCCCCCTGAAGCCGACACCTGCCAAAAGCCGGACGCTGCAATCTTTTCGGAGCTTCGGATCTCTGGGCTCACCCTCTGCACACTGTGCACCAGTGGTGGCAAAGCGGTCCCTGGACCGCTTTTCTCCACCACCGCTATCATAGGTAGGACAGGGGGGAGGAGGAGGGGGTCGGAGGAGGAGGAGGAGGAGGAGGACCTCCCCATCCCCCCTTCTCCCCCGCCCTACGTATGTTAGCGGTCGCTCGGCCTCCTCCCCTCTCCGAGCGTTCTCGCGCCGACGCCTCGAGGCTGCTGCCGCCCACGGCAGAGGCCTCCCGCGCCGCCCCGCCCGCCCCGCGGGCACCTCCACGCGACACCGCTCCTCCTCCTCCTGCTCCTCCTCCTCCTCCTCCTCCTCCTCCTCCCCCTCCTCCTCCTCCTCCTCCTCTTCCTCCTCCTCCTCCTCCTCCTCCGATCGCTTCGAGCGGGATCCAGCTGCGGCCGCACAGGTGCCGTGGGCCGGTCTGGGGGGCCACTCTGGCCGCCTCGGGCATGCACAGGCCCGAGAGGCGAGGGCGCGAAAGTCCTTCGAGAGCCAAGGGAGCGTCGGCGATGTCTGCCTCCTGCAGGCCTCCTTAGGGGTCCTCTTGGGGCCGGGACCTCTGGCGGCCAGAATGCGCCGGGCCCTTTGGAAAGCTCAAGGGCGTGTGGGATCACTCAGGGCTCAGACAAGGAAGTCCTCAATCTTCAACGGAGAGAGGCTCTTGGGCGCGGGGGGGTTGGGCTGGGGATGGTCGCAACGAGGCAGCACGGTGGCGGAACACATGGACAGCCCCACACAGTCCAACATGGTCCCTCGCAGTCCCTGCAACTATTTGAAATGCCCCTGCGAGCTCAGACGTTCGCCGCTCCATTTTGATTTGATGCGTGAATCCCTGGAGATCTGGACCACATCCATGGGGCTGGTTTTTCGTCCTAAGTTGTTTTTCGACGGTCCCAGGGCCCGTTGAGGGCCCCCCGAGGCCGAAAACTGTCATCAAGCGGCCGCTCCAATCTTCTCGGAGCCTCGGATCGCTGGGAGGCTCCGGGGTGGGCGGGCCTGTTCGCCAGGCGCTGGCTGCGCAGGTGGGCAGCCCCACAGAGAGCCGCACAATCCCGCTGAGCTGCGGGGGCCCGTCGCCGCGCGCTGAGGGCGAAGGCGGTGCTGCTCAGCCCCGCGCGGTCCGCTGCGCCAGGAAGTCCCCCGGGAGGCGCCCCGGGAGGCCCTGGGGATGCGCCGAGGAGCCTCACACAGGAGCTCCCTTCGCGAGGGGCACAAGATGACATAAACATACACTTTCGGAGGTCCGCACGGACTTCTTGGATCGGCGCTGGAGCTCCCTGGCGGCGCCTCCAGCGACGCCACTGGCGCGCTCCGCACGCCAGGGAGGGGGGGGGGGGCAACGCCGATCCAAGAGGTCAGCGTGAACCCCCGAACGTGGATTTGTATGCAATTGCTAATTCCTCAATCTCCACCAGCCCCTCTTCGGGGGGGGGTCTACTGGGAAGCTTCTGCCGCCAGAGACCCCTGACAGAGGCTCATGGGAAGCTCTGAGGAAGCTCCTGCCTGTGGAGATGCCTGGGGAGCTGCAGCAAGCGCCTGGAACCCACTGTGGAACTTGTGGGATGCCCTGGGAAGCGAAGGCGGTGCCTTAACGTCGTCGACATCGCCGCACATGACAATCGCGGGAACGTGCTGACGGCGCCAGCAGGGCTTTATGCAGCGACGGTGACATTGGATGTGGTAACATATTGATTGATTGTGGTGGTGATGGTGGTAAGTGTGGAAACTCGGAGGCCGACGAGGACAACGATGGCGACGATGATGAATCACAAAGGGGTGTCTTTCAGGACCGCTTCCCCGCTTGGGGCGGGTCAAGGGCGTGCGAGACAGAAACCCTGGCACAAAAATACACTGTTTGCAGGTCGCGCCGACAATTTGTCTGGGGAACTCCCCTGGGAGCAATGTCTCGCCCCTGTCCGTTTCTGGCGGCCCCCGGGGCCCGAAAACGGCCCCCGGCGGCCAACAGAACTACAGACAAACGAAGGCGACGGAAACAGACAAGTCGACGACTGAAGTTGCACTACTTCTCCATGGCGCTGCAGGACAGCAGAGGTGGACGTCCTCGGCGAAACGAAGCCCTGCGGGCAGAGTGGGGCCCCGACGCCGCCGAGTGTTGGCGATTCTGCGCCGTGCAGCTGCGCCCCCTCCCGTGGTCGGAGGCCTCGGCGTTCCGAAGACGGGGTGCATGGTGGCCGCCGGCCATTTCCAAAGAGCCGAGGCTCCGAAAAAATTGGAGCGGCCAGTCTTTGAGCCGTTTTCGGCCCTCGGCGAGCCCTGGGGCCCTCAAGAAAAACGACCAGGACGAAGTACCGGCCGTGGGAGAGTGGTCCAGACCTCCAGGGGTCCGCGCATCGAGAAAGTCGGATCGCCAGGATGTCTGGGAAGGCTTCTGGAGGCCCCGTGCAGTCCCCTTGAGGCTTGCTGGAGGCCCCGGGAGTCCTGGGGGGCCCCTGAGCGGCCCCAGAGATCCTGTGGCTCGGGAGTCCCTGGAGACGTCGTGGACTGTGCAAGTGGGCCGTCTGGCCCCGTCCTCGTCCTCCTCCTCCTCCACCTCCTCCTCCTCCGTAGCCATTCTGGCTCAAGCCATCTCGGCTCAAGGCCCCAGGGGGGGGCCTTTGTGGGCGGCGTTCTTGAAAGGGGCGCAGCCGCTCCGAGCCTGGGATGGCGGCCTGATGGACATCAGTGCGCTCCAGGTGTTCACTGGGCACTCGCTGGTGCGCCAGGTCGACGTGGGCTGCTGCGTGGGCCTGCTCATCAAGGGTATCTGAAGGGGCCCTGGGACACACAAATAGATAGACACAGATAACAGGATTCCCCATATTTTCCTATATCTTATGGGTTTTCGTCTTCCCCCCCCCACACTTCCCATATCTTTCCATATTTTCCTGGGAGTCGACGATTCATTGTGTCTGTGTGTTCCTTTCCCTCCTGAGTATCGAGCAAGAGGTCAGGCACCGCCAGTGGCAGCTACAGATCTACAACGAGGGCCTGTCCGAAGGCGGCGACGATGGTGGTTGCGGCGGGCGAGGCCAGCCTACAAGCCCAGAAGCAGGAGCAGCTGAGGATGTTCGGGTACGGCTTCCTGCACGAGGGCACGGAGCAGAGGTGCGCTCGGGCCGCCAAGATGGGGAGCTCCCCGACTGCAGCGCTGGGCCTGGGCTACGGCACGATGCTCAAGGACAAGCTGAGCGAGAAAGCCACGCCTGGAGGAGGCGCGCCCTGCAGCCAAGCCGGACGACACGAAGAACCGGTCCCTCCCCCTCCCCCTTCTCCCCTCCTCCCCCTTCTCCCCCTCCTCCCCCTCCTCCCCCTCCTCCTCCTCCTCCTCCTACTCCTCCTTCTCCCCCTCCCCCTCCTCCTCCTCCTCCTCCTCCTCCTCCTCCTCCTCCTCCTCCTCCTCCTCCTCCTCCTCCTCCTCCTCCTCCTCCTCCTCCTCCTCCCCACGGGGCGTCGGCGACGGCGTCGCGCCCGGAGAAGCGCGGCCTGCGCTCGCCCTCACAGGGCCCCCTCCTCGCGGGCCAGCCCTGCGGCGAGCTGGGCCCTCACACCTGGGTCCTCACACCTGGGTCCTCACACCTGGCCCCGCCCTCACACCTGGGTCCTCACACCTGGGTCCTCACAGGGCCCCCTCCTCGCAGGGCCCCCTCCTCGCAGGGCCCTCACACCTGGGTCCTCACACCTGGCCCCGCCCGAGGACGGCCGCGGAGGCCGAGGTGCTGCAGAAGGGCGCGCTGGAGGAGCCGACCGCTCCGGGAGGCGGAGCACGCCGCCGCGTGCGAGGTGCAGCTGCCGTCCGAGACGGAGGTGGAGGAGCAGCCCGCGACGGAGGCCGCGGTGGCGGCTCCGGCGCGTGCGGCGGACCTCCCGCAGGCTGAGTATAGAGACCCTCCAGGAGGACAGGTCCCCGCCCGAGGGCGAGGAGGCGTGAGGCCCCCTCGGCGCAGGCCCAGTCGTTGGGGCCGCAGGGCACAGAGCGCGGCAAAGCAGGAGACGGCGTCGGTGCGAAGGCAGAGAGCTGCTGCATCGGCGGCGCGAGTGCCCGTGGGCGGCGCGTGCGAGGAGGATCGCCTGCAAGTCTTCGCCAGCGCGGTGAGCGACATCCGCGGGGGCAAGCAGCTGCTGGGGGCTCTCCACGAGCTGGACGGCGGTCCGGGCCTCATCAGCATCGGGGGGCTGCGCAACGTGCTGACCAAGTTCGGGGACAAGCTGGATCCTGATGAGGTCGACGCGATGATCGACGAGTGCGGCAACATCGTGGATAGCCAGATCGACTACCTGGAGTTCTGCGGTGCTGTGGTGGGCCTTACTGGCCACAGGTTTGGTGAAGAAGTTCGTGACGAAGTGCATGGACCTACTGGCGCAGGCAGCTCCAGCGACGGTGTTTGGAGCCAGAGCGTCGGCAAGAACAGCAAAAAAAGTACACGACGAGAAAGAGTGCGGAGTTCTTGCCATCGGATGCCGCTTCAGCTTTGGAAGAGATCCAGGGCGTTGCATGGGCTAAGATGCGGGACGTGGCAGAGTTCGTCGAATTCGAGAGCTGGCTGCGTCTCCAGGCAGCGAAGAACTCGAAGGACTGAGCGAGGTAGGGGGAGGGTCTGCACCAGACGGCGGGGTCATGGGCTCCTGGTCTAGCGCGGCTCGCACCCTCTGGCTCTTCCTGGATGCGGGGGGGGGCTTCTCAACCTCCGCTTGGGCCCCTTCGGGGCTCTGCGGGGCCCTTCTCGGCCTTGCGGTGCGGTGGGCCTCCGTACACCTGCTGCTGCCTGTAGTGACCTCCCGTTGGTGGCGTTGCGGCCGTAGTGCCGAGCGGCTTCCTGAAGCCGATGTAGTCAATCTCAGTCTCAGCCTCCTCCTCCTCCTCCTCATCTTCTTCTTCTTCTTCTTCTTCTTCCTCCTCCTCCTCGTCCGCGTCCTCCTCCCTCCTCCTCCTCCTCCTCCTCCTCCTCCTCCTCCTCCTCCTCCTCCTCCTCCTCCTCCTCCTCCTCCTCCTCCTCCTCCTCCTCCCCCTCCCCCTGGTGGCTCCTGGAGGCCCCTCGAGGTACTTCAAGACCCCCTATGAGAGACAGCACGAGAAAGGGACCAACTCAGGGGGGGACCATCGACCTGGAATCGGCGAACGGCCCCCGATGGCAGAGCCGCACGCTTTTGGGACGGGTGGGCCACCAGACCCCATGTCGTTGATGCATGGCCGACTGGGGCCGATGCACCCCCCCGATCTTATCCACCGTCAACGTTGCAGCTGGTGGCGGCCCAAAAACGCTGGAAACCTATGCAGGCCCTCGAGGCTCAAAGGGTGCCTGTGCGCCGCCACGGGACTGCTGCTCCATGCAATTCTTTGTGCGACGTCGTGTCACGTGTGCTCGTCGCGGTGCGGTCTTGCCTCTACTTCGCTGTGGAGCACGGTGCAGGTGTGAACTCTGAGTTCGCACTTGACGCACACCAGCGGACCGGGTCCCTCCGCAACAGGCGCCGACCTTGGAGGACCCACAGCGAGCCAGGACTGCACGACCGCCTCAGTGGCGGCGCTCAACATTACCAAGGGGGTGCGGAGGGAGCACTGCCGCGAGGCGACACACAGGACCGAAGCGGCTTCGGGAAAGACACCATGATCATTCCAGAGCGCAGAGGCAAGCACACGCTCCATCCTTGTAGTCGTCCAGGGGCGAGGCCTCCGCTCTCGCCGGCGCAGCGCCACCAAGAGCCACCGCGCCTGCCGCCCCAGCGCCGCCGAGGACCAACTGGGGAGTCAGAAAGCCGCACGCAACTGCGAAGCCCACCTGTCGCACCTGGCGCACATGGCGCACCTCGGACACCCGTCTGGATGGAGCTGTCCAAGCAAGGTTGCCGGGGCAGAAGTGCGCGATCCTGAAGCCAAAGAGTCCAAACAACGACACTCATGGAGGGCGGACCGTTTCCCAAGAATGGCTCTCGCCTGCGCGCCGCACACCTTCGTCCGAAAATGCGTTCAACAGCTGATATTCAGCGGCTCTCGCTGCAGAGTCGCCCACATTCGTCAAACAAAGCGTTTCAACGGCTGGTGGTCTACAAATGCGGCTCGCGCCCTAGCGCCGCAAGCTCTCGTCTGAACCCGTCGCGCGGGCAAAAGGCAAGTCGTCTTGAAACAACTGTTATCACCTGAGCACAGCCCACACTACGTAGTCGTAATATTTCCTTCTATCTAAGCGAATGGTGGGAACGTCTTCTTCAACATACTGCTGTTGCCCTGGTGCCGTGCAGAGTTCCCCAGACAGCTTCCAGCGCCTGCACGCACGGAGGGCAGTGCCTTTTCACCAAAACGGAGCCCTCGATTGACACTTCTGCAGGGTTTGCGACCAGAAGTGCAAACTCGTGAAACATCTGCGCGTGTGGCGTGCGGCTCCTTTGCAGACCTGGAGACTGTGGCGCTCGAAGCGTCCCCTTTGCCACCAGGAGCTCCGACTGCGAGACGACTGAGAGGATGGAAAGCGGGTCCATCTCAAAGCTGAGGTCCTCGCCTGCTTCGAACGCCATCACACGAAATGCCAAAGTGCCCAATGGCTCCACGAGCTGCGGACGGCTCCGAGGAACATTGGGGCCCGATGCACAGTGTTGAGCTGTGCAGCAGCTGCACGGGTGGATGGCGGCTCCACCCCTCAAAACGGGGTCTCGCTCGACAGAGTCCCAGAACTCTCCCATGGGGTTTCGTCGACATCTCGACATCGGGGGACGGGACGTGTCGAGCGAGACGTCGAGAGTTCTGGGAGGAGGATGGTGTCGAGAGGGGACGGGACGTGTCGAGCGAGATGTGGACGTCCCAGGAGGAGGAGGAGCGTTCCTGATGCGTGGAAGAGTGGAGGTCAACTCCTTCTTTCCAAGACGGGGCTCCTGCCTGAATGGCAGGCCCGGTATGCGCCTGTCTTTCAATGGGGGCGCCTCCTGCAGTGGAGAGGGAGGGCTTGAAGGAACTCGTGGAGAGAGGAATGGGAACGGGAGGGTGTATTGCGGCGTCGTGACTTCCCCGTGCTTCCCACAATTTTGCTCACCCTGCCCGCTCCGGAGAGCACGGGTCTTGGGGGAGTCTAGTTTTCGGCGCCCGCCAAGAACCAGGACCGCCGGGGGGAGAGGAGCCGGCGGAGGGGAGAGGAGGGAGAGAACGGGCGCGTGGGCGGGACCGTGCAGCCTCCCCCCCGGGACCCTCCATTGTTTGATTCTGGCGGCGTGGCGATGAGGGGGACTGAAGGGGCGAAAACTTCTCGCCCCCCGACAGTCGCCGTTCCCATTGAGATCATCCCTGATGTTGGGCGGGGGGCGGGGAAATATCAGCACCCCTTTGATGCCCGCAATGGCACAACAAACACGGGCGATGAGAAATCGTGCTGTCAGGAGTCCACGGGCACATTCGACGTCGGTCCTTGAGCTTCTAGAGGTGCTCAAGCGCTTCTGTGGGTCAGGGGGAGGGGCAGCATGGGGGGATGAGAAACTCCTGCGGGGCACCCCCAAGCGAGCCAATCGCTTGGAGGATCCGCCCACCGTGCGTTAGTGGAGGCCACGCCGAACTCACGCAGGACGCAAGAGAAGACCACCACCGTTCACAGGACGCGCAAGGCCCCCCAGAGATGCCGCGCGAGGGTCGGAGGGACCACCAGAAGGAGGACACAAAAAAACGTCACGATAGCACTGCCTCGGGACACGCTCCAGGAATCCCGGCGTCTCTCGCGGCCCTCCTTCCCGGGGCCCGCGAAAGAGAATAGAACATCCTCGACAGATCACGGCCTCCCCTGGGTCTAAGGGTCTTCGTTTTGGGGTTTAAGGGTGCTTGTTTTGGGGTTTAAGGGTCTTTGTTTCGGGGTTTTAGTGTTGGGGTTTAAGGGTGTTTGTTTTGGGGTTTAAGGGTCTTTGTTTTGTGGTTTAAGGGTCTTTGTTTTGAGCGCAGGATTCTTGAATCGGGCTTCCCGGCCACAGCCCGGTCCTCCGGCGGCCGATCGGGACGACCCCCGGAACGCTCTCGACGAGGCTCACCTGCTGGAGGGCATCCCGATGGCTGGAGCACTGCCGATGGCCGACGAAAACGCCCGAAAAGACTGAAGCTCATGGAGAAGACAGAAGAAGAAGAAAGAAGCGAAAGACAAGAAGAGATGGAGAAGACGTGAGCTCATGGAGAAGCTCATGGAGAAGACAGAAGAAGAAGAAGACAAGGAAACGCCCGAAAAGACTGAACGCCTGGTGAAGGAAGAAGAAGAGGCGACATGGAGACAGCGCCAACGCCCAATCAGTGACCACAACCCGGGAGCTGGCAAGCAATCCTGCCAGAGGGCACTTCTAGTCCTGACTCCCATGCGCGGGACGAGGACCCTTCGTCTGACCCGAGGAAACACCGAAACCTTTCGTCCAACACGGGACAAGGAAGGACGTGGCCCTAGACATGCGATGTTTAAATGTTTGAAATTCCCCAGGGCCGGCTTTCATCCCCAATCGATGTTTGACTGTCCCAGGGCCTGGCGAGGGCCCCTGGAAGGAGCCGAAAGCCACCAAAACAATCCGTCGCGAATGATTCACGGCGCGAGCCACGGCGCGAGCAAGGGAACCGACGTCCTGGGGACCCAGGGGACGGTGGATCTTGGTGCATTCCTGGATCCCACGCACGGGGCCAGAGCATATGTCCACGTCGTTCATTTCTGACCGTGCTCATTTCTAATTGTGCTCGTTTCTAACTGTTCCTGGCCCCCCAGTGGCCAGGAAGAGGCCCAGGATAGAACAATTAGAAATGAAAGAACCTTGGCCCCCAAAACAAATCAAAGAACTGTCGAATACTTAGAGATGAACCATGTGTCCACATCCATCGCATGCCGAGGTCCCCGAGGATCGACCCCCCAAGCGGCGGCAATCGACCAAAAAGTCCCGCCTCGCCATGACTGCGGCTTTCGGGCCACAGCTCGGGTCTCCCGGACGATCTTGGCACCCCCTGGGACGCTCTCGGCGAGGGCGCAGTGGCTAGAGGGCAACCCGAGGCCGGAAGATCTCCTGGGAACAAAAGAAAAGCTGACAGAAACCTCCCGAAGTGGTTTCTCGACGACGCAGACATGTCCGAGGAGGATGCAGCGCGAGGTGCGGGGGACCACCAGCTGCCGCCGCGCCACCCCGCTCCTCGCGTTTGGCGCCGCCGCCCAGCAGCAGGCCGACGCCGCCAGCGCGGCCGAGGCGGCAAGCGGCCCCAGGACGGGCAGCAGCCGCGACCGGGGCCGTCGCCGAGAGACAGCCATGGTGGCGGTGTGGGGGCCGCGCGGCCACCGGGCAACCACCGTGCTGTCCCCGGACGTGCTCGCGTCGCCAGGGCCCGGAGCCGTCAAAGAAGGACGCGGGATGAAGACTCGGTCCCAGGGAAATGCTCCAAAGCTCTGGGGGTCCACATTGTTGAGCAATCCCCTGAGGTCTGGGTGTCGGAATCTTGTTCGCACCGTGCGCTTCGCCTGGGAGCATCAGCAAACCGATCCGTCTCGAGGAAGTGCTGCAGAAAGATGTGATCAAGGGTTCCAATCGTGATTTTTCGCAATGCCGCATTGTGTCGCAATGTCGGATCTCCCCTCCATCCTCCCCCCTTCGTCCTCCTCCTGGCTCTCGTCCTCTCTCTGGTCGTCCATGCAGCTGCTGGTCCTCGTCCCCCTCCTCCCGCTCCAACTCCTCCTCCTCCTCCTCCTCCTCCTCCTCCTCCGCCTCCTCCTCCTCCTCCTCCTCCTCCTCCGCCTCCTCCTCCACCACGGCCTGCTCCTTCTCATGCCCACGTCGGTGCTCCAGCCCGTGCACCCTCCCTTGCTCCTTTTCCCGACGTTGTGTGTTGAGGCTCCGTGCGCCAGCCGCCCGCCACTTCCGATTCCCGTCAGGGCCTCTCTGAAGGGGCCCCAGGACACACAAATAAATACACACAAATCAACAGATTCCCTACATTTTCCTATATTCTCTGGGTTTCTGTCTTCCCCCCACTTCCCATATTTTCCCATATTTTCGGGGGAATCGAGGATTATTTGTGTCTGTGTGTTTTTCCCTCTCCTGACTCTCCCCTGCAGTGGACGAGGCGGGCCAGGAGGCCCTCCCGCACCACCGTGCTGTGCTCCCATATGGAAGCTGGCGCGCCGGCCGCCCACCGCGGGCCGCGGCCCGGAGCCCCCGCGTGGCACCGCAGGGAAAGACAACGGCGCGCAGACGAGATGTGTCTGGTGCGGCTTGCCATGAGCCCGTTTTTCTTTATATCCAGGCAAGCTTACTTGCATGGCGTCCCCCCCCCCCCCCTCGCCCCTCTTCAATCGAACACGGGCGTGCAAGTGCCTTTCGACTTGCGTGATTTCCGCACGTCGAATTGTTTCCGGCTTGCTTCAGACTCAGTCCCCCCCCCCGTCCACGCAAGTAAACCTGCCCGAATCCAAAGAAAAACAGGCTCCATGGCGAAGGAGAGCCTGCCAACGCTTCGGTCAACCCAGACGACGTGCGCGGAGCATCGAGAACGCAGTCAGTGCGGTGTTCCAGAACTTCTTTTCTCGCTCCTCATGTCGTCTTTGTCAGTCGTCCGATGCCCAACCTTGTGGTGGCACCAGGAGAGCAGCATCGTTTTAACCATGTTCTCTCGAGTCCCGTGGACCAGCCAAGCTGTTGGACATTTAAACAAGCAGGTATCATAGAGCTCGCCGTTCAGTTTCCGGCTACGCCAGTCACTTTCGGGGGAGAACAAGTCGACGGAGAGGATTCATCAGCCAAAGCTCCTCTCAACAGAATGCCTGCGCTCCCAGAATTAATTCAGTTTCATCTTAGTTTGCCTTGTCTGTGGAGCTTCCAGAACATGCGCCCAGGGCAAAGCGACAACTGGTTATACACAAACTCAGACTGGAGCTCAAGACTGTTTCACCCACTGCTCGTCCGAAGGGAGAACCAAGAGATTCTGTAGAGGAGGGAAGAGAGAGAGAAAGAGAGAGAGAGAGAAAGGCAGAGTGTGTCTCAGTCTTGCCGACTGCTCCAGGAACAACCCGATCGTCAGTCTACGGCCCTTTTGCGCGGTCACATGTCAAGCACATGTATATCCCTTCGGTCACCCAGCATAGCACGCAGAGTTGGGCCGGCTCGTCGAACACAAGGTGGTGGATCCGCAATGTCGAATGACGTACAGAAGCGCGTGTTCAGTTGTAGGCGTCATGGCGGGCCAAGACGACGATATCCCAGAGGACGATGGCCCAGGAGGCGTCGTTGCTGGCGCGCCATGCCCCAATGAGGGGAAGTGCTGCTACTCGAGCAGCACCAGCAGCAAACCCAGCATCTGGAGCAACAGTTGGCACCAACTCAAATTCCAGACATTGCAGCTCTTCAACAGCAGCTGTCGCACATGAGCTCCAACCATGCCATGCATCAGCAGAGGACCTCGCGATTGCAAGCTGACCTTTCCGGCTGGCCAGCATGTCAGCTCGGCGCGAAGAGTTGGCTGCGGCCATGACAGAGCTGGTGAGAAACCAATCAGATTCGCAGCCTCGGCCGCGGCAGCTGCTGCCTCGGCGGCAACGGCCTCTCTCGCAGCCGCGGCGCCACGCAGCTCGCCGCAGGCGCAGGGGCCCCGGGCTCCGCGGGCCCATCCGAAGCAGCGGCCCGAGGCCCCGCGAAGGAGGAGGTCGCCAGCCAGGGAACGGGAGAGATCTCCCCGCCAACGCGGGAAGGCGCCGGGTGCCGTCGCAACAGATGGTCAGGCGCCCGACGTTCCACACTCGGATCCAGAGAGGGGGGATGAGCACGTCGCCCACTCTGATCGGATCGCACCCGCGCGCGGTCGACGAGAGTGGGCGCCCCCTTTTTTGCCGCAGTAGTAAGGACAACCTGTGTTGAGGCTGCCCTCCTTTGTGTCTGTTATAAGGAAGCTTGGCCGACTACTCCCACCACGTCCAGGACGCAACTCGAGAGGCACTTTCTCCCGTCCACTTCCCAATTCCTCAGTTCCCTCTACTCCCGCCGGGCACCAGTCTAGATCACACCATTTCGGCTGGGATATTTACTGGCGGCTCGGGAGGTCCTCGGGCCTTCGCGGTGGTCCACGTTCGCACTGTCTCTGCAGGGGCCGCAATTTTCCGGGGGTGGGCTCCAGGGCACTTCGGAGCAGACCCCCGTGATAGCGATCTTGATCACCGTAGTGCGTGCTCGGAGGTCGGGGCTTTGCTGTGGACGGTTTCCTGGATGTGCCAATCGTCAGCTTCTCCGGTTAAGGCCCCAGTCGGCAATCGAACAATCGTAAGGGAGCGCCAGGAGAGGCAAGCATGCTTCATATCAACGGATCCAACGTCGCCCTTACGGCCCTTGACAAGTTTGCGACTGCGGAAGAACATTTCTCCTTCCAGCATGTTCGCAGCCACGATGGCGATCCCCTCAGCGAGCTAGTGGGCTCACTGGCGGCCCTGGCTAATTTGCCTCTCCCGAGTTTGCCCCTGAATGTTGCGGGCGCAGGGCGCGCTCGTCGCCTCGCGGGCGTGGCTTCATGATCTGGGGCCCGGTTCGAGGGCGCAGTGCCTGGTCATGCTGGAGGGGGCGATTGTAATTGCCACGGGTCCCCATTTTGGGCCTCTCCACCGTGGACTGTTCCTATCGGCAACGATCGCGACCGCCCCTTCGATCCAGCGGCAGGATTTGGACAATGCGGAGCTGGGCGCGCAGCTCAAGTTGAGGACAGCGTTTGCCAATGTGCTGTCTTTGCAGGCGGCAAAGAGGGGCAAGCATGCACGAGTCGGCCTGTCTGGCCCAGGACGCCCTCCACTGCTGGCCGCCCACGCTCACCAACGTCTTCGCGCGTAGGGGCGGCAGAGAGCCCAGGGATCTCATGGGTGCTCACTCTGGTTGCGCAGGCCGCTGCCTTCCATCCCACCTCTATCTGGCTTGCGCGCCCCCAGGCATCACTGCGGCCCTGGCTCCCCCGGCCCTCCTGCTGGACAGTCTGCGCGCGGGAGATCAGCTGCTTGCGCCCAGCGTTCCTCATGCGCCGCGCTCCAAGCACCGGCCGCAGGAGACGTCGGAGTGGTGGCAGGAGCATGCGCCATACGTATTTGCTACCCGCTGGCGGAGACGCCACTGCGGGGTCTGGAAACAAATGTGCCGGCGGAAATAGGAGACTGCGAGCTTCCAGGGGCCCTGTCCCCATGGGTGCCTCCGCAAGCACGCAGTGGCCCTTCTACCCGCGTTTAATGGAGATCCCCTGCAGGCGAAGACTTGGACCCCGAGGGTTGTGCCCCGACGAGAAAGGTTGACAAAATGAATGTTTGTAATTCAGTTCCCAGCCGCTGTCGCGAGGCCAGACCACAATCTCGCTCAGCTAGACACGTGCATTATTCTTCCTGTCGCGCGCGCCCGCGTCAAGGGCCGCCGGCTTCAAATCCCAGGGTGGATTATGATAAACTGAACGAGCCCAATTGCAGAATGAAGTTCGCGCGCCGGACGAACAAGTGCCCGCGGCGCCCTTGCAGCGTTTTCCCGCGCGAAGCACAGCGCAATGCTCGATCGCTCGGTTAAAACAATGCACGATCGGACATTCCCAATTTAACTGGGAAGATGGCGCCTCGGGAGTTGAGCCACGCACCCTCGAACAGGTAAAACGCGCGCGCAGTGCCAGGCGGGCCCTTCGACGGGCGCGCGCGCGATTTGGTGCGATTGAGCTGCTCGCGTCGCTTCGAGAATGGCGCGTGACCAGCTGGGCCAAGTCGCGCAAGGTCTCGCCGCCCGAGCGTCTGCGCAAGGTCGCGGGGTTTAGCCAGCGTGGGAGGCGCGCCAGATTTGAACGGCTTCCGCCAGCTGCTTGCAGAAGTGCCCCGCCGAACGCACGTCGCGGCCGCGCCGCGCTGCCCTGGCCCCCCTCATCCGCAAGCGGCCCTGGCGGAGGAGAGGCAAGCGCGATCGCGTCGCCCCGGCCGCTGCAGACGCGGCCGCCGCTGCCTTCTTTTTGTTTCTGCATTCAGTTAGCTCCCCCTTGAATGCTCTGGGGCGTCGCGGGCTGGCCCCTCCAGTTCTGAAAGCTGCAAGACGTGGTCGCCGCGGCTAGGAGTTGCGCGAGAGAAGGAGCTCAAGATCGCGCCGAGGAAATTGACGGGCATGCGTCAGGCGCCTGGTCGGCCAGAGATCGCGCCGCGGCATTTGCTCCTCTCGGCGCGTTGGGGGGGGGTCGGGGAAGCGGCATCGGCGACCCGCGGCCCCGCCTGCAATGAGGGCGCCCGATGGGGCGCCGCCGCCAGCGGCCCCAGAGGCCCGCAACAACTGGCGAGAGCACTTCGGGAGACAAGGAATTGCGGCGCCGGTGCCCGCCCACCCTG